CAAGATACATACATGATCGAAATTTGGCAGGAATCCATCAATCTGTTCTAATGAGAATGCGATCACAAGCTATTTTTGCATACATAATGAGCCCTGTGACCTTTGATCTTTGACCTCGTGACCCCAAAATCTATTCAGTTCATCGGCTCTGCAAGATACATACATGACCAAAGTTTGGCAGGAATCCATCGATCGGTTCTTGAGATAATGCGATCACGAGCTCTTTTTGCATACCTAATGAGCCCTGTGACCTGTGACCTTTGACCTTGTGACCCCAAAATCTAATCAGTTCATCGGCTCTGCAAGATACATACAAGACCAAAGTTTGGCAGGAATCCATCAATCCAGAGATGCCAACTTTTGGAAATCAGAAATAGGGAGGATTTGTAATCGACACCAATTAATGTGCGCGTAGCGCACATCTCGAGCGCGTAGCGCCCGACACATGCGGCCGGGGTCCAAGGCCCGCCTTAGGGCCCTGGAAGCTCTGGGGTTCTAGATGCTCTCTGGTGCAATCTGAGCCTTATTTTGGAGCATTTTACATGTGTATTTAGTTAAATAATTCCCCCTTTTTTTTAAATAACATAAAAATTGTACAAAATGCATGATGAATTACTTTCAGACTTCCGATTACACAGGTACTTGATACTGTATTCGGTCTTATACTTCCGAGACCATTTCCTGGTCTTATTTTGCTGATTTTCCGCCATTTGGATTCTGTGGCAATATCCACGCATTGGTTACGGCGATCCATATGCTGAAACAATCTTTCGCTACTCTTAATTTGTCTTTTAACATAGTGGAATTATTACATGCTTAAGTTAGCAGATGATATTTCTCTTTCAATTCACAGATATATATACTGATAAGCGCCCTCCAAAAAAAAATCATAAAAAAAAAAAAAAAAAAAAAAAAAAAAAAAAAATCATTTTTTTTTTTTTAATAAATCGGGAGGATAAGGATGGTGATCGTAAGGTCGGGAGTTGGGGTGAATTATCGGGAGCCTCCCGATAAAATCGGGAGGGTTGGCATCTCTGTCAATCGGTTCTTCAGATAACGCGATCACGATCTGTTTTTGCATACATAATGAGCCCTGTGACCTTTGACCTTTGACCTCGTGACCCCAAAATCTAATCAGTTCATCGGCTCTGCAAGTAACATACATGACCAAAGTTTGGCAGGAATCCATCAATCGGTTCTTCAGATAACGCGATCACGAGAACGGGACGTACGGACGGACGGACAACCCGAAAACATAATGCCTCCGGCTACTTCGTAACGGAGGCATAAAAATTAATGTTTAAAAAATTTCCCAGCACACATCGATTTTGATGTAATACATTATTTAACTTTACCAACTGTTGTCTTACATTTTTTTTTTGACAATGTACCTTGCATTGATGGAAATCAACACGATCTTTTAAAAATCTGCATACCGTAATTGTAAGTTTGACCAATCTGCATCAGAAAATTCATACTGTGTTCTCATTGTATTTCTCAAACAATGTAGGTAGGATGATACATCATCATAGCAAGCTGGTCAATTAACACATCTACTACTACATTATTTTATTCCAATAGGTTTGTGCAGGTGATGCTTTAACCATAATAAGGCCTCAAAGGCCCCCTATAAGAAACCTTCCAAGTACCCTGGGGGGTGTTTCATAAAGCTGTTCGTAAATTTATGCATGACTCTACGAACGACTTGTATATGAAAAGCCAAATGGGATGCTCAATCTTCATTAACTGCATCAACTTAAGTTGAACTATGCAGATGAAGACTAACATTCTTATTATAACAAACATTTTGTAATGCAAAGTAAATTTTTTGCCATAATTTGATTGAGGTTATTGGAAATATCAGAAAAAAAAACTTTGGGCATCCTATCTGGCACTTCATATACAAGCTGTTCGTAAAGTCATGCGTAACTTTACGAACAGCTTTATGAAACACCCCTCTGGCCTCATTAGGATTTAAAGTGATAACAATAAATGTCAAGAGTGATGAATCACTAATACAATGGTGTGGTTTGTTGAGCATTAAAGACTTACCGATTTCCTCAGTTCTTTCTGGTAGTGGAGATGTGCGCGTGCCTTCCTCTTCTCCTCGAGAGCCTCGATGATGTTCTTGTACTTCCAGCCGACCTCATGAGCCAGACGTCCAAGTACGCAGAACTATTACAAATTGAAAGGATAATTCATAGAAAAGATACTATTAAGCATGTTTTCATCATCTGAATCATCACAGTAGAATATGTACTTGCATAGTTTTTGCACTTTTTTCATGATTATTGTGTTTGCTGTTGTTCTTATAATTATAATTATAATTATAGAATCTGAAAGAAATCATAGAAAGAAGGTAGATGAAGTGCAAAATTGCAAATCGTTTTACCATTTTTCCCTCTATCTCATTTAGAGAATCAACATTATTTGTTTCTCACCGACGCTGTTGTAAGATATTACATACAATTCCACCCTGAAAATTGTGATCTGTTTCAGAACTTGCAGATTTTGTTCTCATGTTTAGATCGATCCGCTGAATTGAATTCATCACAAACAGACCACTTCCCCGTAGACAAGTCTTGAAAATGCATGTGAATAATGATCATTTCAGACCAGTAAATAGCAGTTTACAAATGATGACAAATGTATTTACAAACCAAATTGACTGGTACTTGAGTTAAGTTAATGAATACTTAGCCAGGTTAGGCTGCGCAGACAAAAGTTAATATAGTTTCAGAATACCAAGACTGTATTGTCTCATGATCTGTAGCACTCTGATGGGTTTCTTACCTTCCTGTTGGGCTTGAGGCGCATCACTCTCAGTGCAGAGGGCACAACGAACCTCTTCTTCTGCAAAGGTAAGAACGATGGATAAAAAAACACTTCAACAACTATTTCATGTGCGATGGAAAAAATCAGTCTAAACTAATCCATCCACTGAAGACTAGGAGTTAAAATGAAGTTATGAATAAAGCAAATACTACACACGATGACCACTAAAACAGGACTCTTCTGTATGAACAGTCAAACCTGCTTTAGTGACCACCTGTATAGAAAGCCCACCTTTTTTGTTTCCCTTGAAAATGGTTTCTCATTGACACATGTACTAAAGACCACTTTTCTTGTCTCCCTTGGGTGGTCTTTAGACAGGTTTTACTGTACAAAGTAGGCCTGAGTCATGTCGGGATTTTCATAAACCGGGTCCCGACGGCCTTGCACCGGTCGGGACCCGGTGTCCCGAAATCAGCTCGCAGGATTTGTCACTTGCCTCTATAAAAAGCGCATATCATCAGTATGTCCCTTAAAAGTGACATTTTTATCAGTCAAATAAATCAACACATGCATACCTCGGCACAGATTGGTATATTCTTCCATTTGACATTATATTCATCCATGATTAGCGATGTTTAGTGCCATTATCGTGCCTCTAAAAGTAAAAAAAACTCGAGCAAAAATATAAAGACTACAATCGAGCCGCCATTTTGATTTATGCAGGTTGAATAAATCTGGTCAAAAAATATGAATGTTAGAATAATAAAACGGCTTTCTAAAAAATTCTTCTGTACAATATACCGATCATATAATATTTTAAAGACAAAAATAAATATTTATCTCTTATTTTAAACATCGCATGCTTTTTTTTAAAAGCTGAAAATTACTTGGTAATCACAAGAAGTTTTGATACGAATAGCTGTTGCAAGGCAAGTTCAGACTAGTCTCGGAAAAATGCGCAGTGCTCCTCGTTATCTGTAATGCGTGCCAAAACGAACCCAAACAAAGACGTGATCGTAACGAGAAAAAAAATCATTAAAAACTACGAGAGCACAATTGGAAAGATATACTGCTCAAAATTACCATAATCAGATACATAACTTGGACAAAGAATTCAATAATCGCCCAAGAAATGCCACAGAAATTGTGATAATCGAGGAGTAAGGGGCCTGCTGCAAATACTCGAATCCTTTGTTATACTGCTTTTTACCGTAGAGGGCGGTATTTGCCTCGTGTTCAATTTAACATTTAGATATATTGCAGCAGGCCCTTCCGATAATGATTGTACCTATAGTAACTCATTAAATATCACTATTTATGTGGCTTTTCTTGGACAACTATTGTATTCTTCCTCCAAGTTATGTATCTGCTTACGATAATTTTGAGTAGTTGTCTTTCCAATTGTGCTCTCGTAGTTTTTAATGATTTTTTTCTCGTTACGATCACGTCTTTGTTTGGGTTCGTTCTGGCACGCATTATAGCTAACAAGGAGCACTGCGCATTTTTCCGAGACTAGTCTGAACTTGCATTGCAACAGCTATCCGTATCGAAACTTCTTGTGATTACCAAGTCATTTTCAGCTTTTAAAAGAAGCATGAGGTGTTCAAAATCAAAGAAAAAATATATATTTTGTCTTTTAAAGATTATTCGATCGGTATGTTGTAAAGAAGTACTTTTTAGAAAGTCGTTTTATTATTCAAACATTAATGTTTCTTTCAACCTGATTTATTAATTCTGCCGAGAGACCCGGCCAGTACAGTAGCTAGCTAGCAGCTGGCAACAACAACCCCATGGGGCGAACTGCTTTGCAACCCATATTTATATCAGCAGTTCGGATTGATTCTGGATGAGCTAGAATACGATTGGTAACAATTAAATACTTAAGTTTTAGGGTGGATTGATTTTAGTGGTGTGCAAAACTGCAATTTCTTACATATTTCATTATTTTTTTCGGAGCGCCGGTTCTCAAAAAACGAAACCGGGACCCGACGGCAACGGTCGGGTCCCGGTGTGATCGACCGTACCGACTCAAGCCTAGTACAAAGCAAATTAAAAACAAGTTAATTTACCAACTCATTTTTCTGACTGGTGGTTCTTGAGTTATCGTGACGAGGAATCAGGACAGACCGACAAACAGATGGACTACCATACCCCCCCCCCCCCTGATTGTGTCTATTTTTGTTGCAATGCCAAGTTATAGCAATTAATTATAAAGTTTCAAAATTCCTGTCTCAGAATCATGCTTATTCTCATCTTCAATCAAACAATGTAGGTAGGATGATATAATTCATCACTGACAGGCAATCCAGATGATCGTTCATTACCAGGTACAAGTCTAAAGTTTAACTTTGAGAACAGAGATAGCCCTCCACCAAGGCATACCACATATATATTTAACACCACTTGAGGTTTTAAACTACAAGCCAGGCAAACAGACGTGGTAACTAAAAGCTGATAAACCTCAAAGTAAAATGTGTCCACACAACACATAATTTTGAGGGAGGACTTTCTGCTACTATTAGTTTTCATGTAAACCATACAATCACTTATGGATTAAATCTTCAACTTAAGGTTTCTGAAGCAAAGAGTGCATCTAAAGGTCCTTAAATAAAAGATAACCTTGAAGTTTAAAACCTGGGGGTGTTTCACAAAGATCCTAAGTTGAACGTAACTCTAAGTTGGACTTCAAAATTATGGAGAGCCATTTGAGGCCTCAAAATAAAATATATTCAGAAGCGAAAATTGAAGTATTTTAGACTTTTTATACATTCCACATCATGAACACAACATCTCCTTGATAATAGAAAATATGAATGATTTAAATCAACATTTTATGCCATTTAAAATAACTTTTACAGAATATTTCTATAGATGCTAACAGCTTTCCATAATTGTTAAGTCCAACTTGGGATCTTTGTGAAACACCCCCCAGGAGTTTAACATTGAATCGAGACTGTGATGTGACCCTAGGTATTAACTCACCCTGTCGTAAGGGGCAGGGCAGCCCTCAAAGACCTTGAGCCTCTCCAGAGCATCCTTGCCACGTGTCCTCTTGTGTGGCAACATTCCTGCAGTCAGACAAAGAAAAGGTTTTCATCAAACATTACGTCTTGTTTATATGAAAAGGTGAAACTACTGGGTTTTCCCCAATTTTGTAACGAAAAAGTTAAGTATAATATGATTCACATTTCTGTTATGTTACAGCAGAAAACAATGACCAACTATTGTTGCCAGCAGTTGCCATTTATTCACACTTTTAACAAAGTGTTTTTTTTAATTTATTTATTGGTGCAGCAGTTTACCAAACCTATAGTAATTACAAAATGCATTGATAATCAAAATGAAATTCAGCCCAGCTCAGATGGTAGTGCATGTAAAAGTAGGGTGTCTGAACGATTTTTCAATTTTCAATTTGGGATCGTTTTTCACCATTTTTGTTTGATATTTGAATAAAAAATGTTATCAGAATAATACATTTCAAATTTCAAGTCTCACCGATGTTTCTATCAAAAGTTACAGCCCCTCCAACACGCTGGTATATTCATATCATTTTGGTCAAAATCGACGAAAAAGACGTCCACGCAGAGTGATGTTGTTTTGCTAAATTTAGCCAAACAGCTGTATCGCGCGATATGCAAGCGTATGCATATCGTACGCATGCTGCTAAGCCAATCCGCGACTTGCAGCTTGAGCTACGCTGTCTCCGCGACATGTGCGATTGACTAGTATGGTTGGCGTTCGTCGCACAATAAACCCGGAAGTGAATGCACGTTATAGTCAATGGCAATATCGCGGAGACAACGCACGTTGTCTCCGCGATATTGCCATTGACTATAACGTGTATTCACTTCCGGGTTTATCGAGGGAATTGCCAACCATAATTTCAGTCACTATAATTTGGGGTTTCGTTCGTGCGCGGAGATGTTACGCGATGTAACCATGGTTTGGACTGAGCGGAGCGCACGCCTCCTAATTAGCTGATCCACCAAATAGCGAGAAGGGTATTTTTAAACTGTTATCAGTTGTGATCCCTGGGGGCTAGCGAAAATATAATCACATAGAATTGTTCCTTAGGACTGGGACTACTTATCGATCGGGGCGTCATATCTCAAAAGTGACAAACCTCAGAGTTAGCCAGGACACAATGTTTAAATTGCTGTTTTGACCAAGATATTTTTAGAATTTCGGGGGCTACGCCCCTTTGGAAATATTGGAATTCACCTGCTCTTTCATATGACACCTCATTCATTGATTATCACCTTCAGGATCACAACTGATAAAGGTTTGAATCTCGATTTGAAAAAAAAAAATTGACTTTTTTTGCATGGTCGCGCAATGCACGTAGGCTGCATAGGGATGCGTGTAATCTCTATGGGAAGAATTTTAGCACACAACATCGGGTGCGCGATCAGACACCCTAGTAAAAGAAAGTTTTCTCATAGTTGTCACTCGAAACAGTGAGGTATCATCATTGAAAGGCTGATTTCAGACAACTAAATTATACTTTCATTTCACAAAATGGGTATTCTGCAGTCTGACTAACTCTGAGGTCAACATACTTTCTAGTTTTCTTGTAGACACAGCAAACCACACAATGTGGTCAATTGTTGCGAATGGGTTTAATTAAAAAGGAACCTAGTTGTGCATTGTACTTACCCCTGATGACTCTCCAGAACATACGGCTAGGACTGCGGAGATGGTAGGGCCCACGGGAGGGCTTGGTGTTTGTGCGCTTGCGCATGAACTGCATGTACTTCACTATGTGGAACAAAAAAGTAATACAAGTTTTAACATCACACTCACCAATAGCTCACAGATAATTTCTTTACCATTGCAAGTGATAATTGAGATTGAAAAAAAAGAATCAAAAGGCAAAATTAAGACAAATTTCTTCTATTGTTAAGGTACAGTGTATGGATGGATCTTAAATTGTAGAATAAATCTCAAGACTTGCAATTCAAAGCTTGTTTTGTCCAATTCAATATTTATACAAAAATAAATAAAAAGGCATTGATAATTAAACTGAAATTCAGCCCAGCTCAGATGGTAGTGCATGTAAAAGAAAGTTTTCTCATAGCTTGTCACTCGAAACAGTGAGGTATCATCATTGAAAGGCTGATTTCAGACGATTAAAATTATACTTGTATTTCACAAAATGGATAATTACATTTAGTTGCAAGACATTTATATGCTTGAAATTGAAATTACTTGAAATTACGTCCATGAGGCTAACATTCGGGAATTTGGGGCATATTGGTGATAGCGAGAGTTCAACACTTACGCTTGTTCCTGTAGAAGCTGCCTGAGATGTTGATGAGCTCACATCGTACCACGACAACCTTCTGACCTAGAAGAGTGATAAACAAAGGTGGAAATCACTTTTTAGATTTGAACATTGTAAAATAACATTTTGTTGAAATCATAATGTAAAAACCAGACTGTCTCAGATGGTAGTGCATGTAAGAAAGATTATTCTCATAGCTCATCACTCGAAAATAGTGATCTTTTATCATCACAGACGGTCAAATTGAATCAACAACCATTTCAAAACATCAACAGAACTTACAGAAGCAAAAGATTTATGTACAGTCATACATCCCAGGGTAAAGGCTTGTAAAGAAAATTTGTAATATCTTCCAAAGCCACATTACATTGAAAGTGTCGTTCAAGTAGATTTTTTTGTATTTTCTAGCATTAGCAGATACATTTTGTTTCAGTGTACGGTCCTGGGATGATAAAATTAATACAATAGAAACAAACTGGAAGGAAGAGCAATATCTCCAACTGAAAATTAAAAAACTCTGCAAATCCCTCTTAAAAGTACATCAAAATTACAATGCAATCTCAGTGAGTACTTTTGTCTTTTAATTTTTGCACTAGAAAGTGGAGCCATCATCAACAGCATTTTTTCAAAGGTTTATGCTCTGCACAGAGAGATATTATTAGATTTACATTCATAAATGAATAAGAGAGGAAGATAATGCACTTTTAACGAAATATCTAATCATAACATGAGAACTCCTTTGACTTTAGACTTGTTATAAATCTTCACAAGGATTCTGCTAGTCAGACTTTACGAGATACAATGACATGTCAGAGAAAGATCAGTGCTGCCAAAGGCCCTACTAAAAAGAAAAGAGTGGTGTATTGTTTCGTACCTTGGAGGAGGTTCTTGGCCACTATGGACGCCAGGCGTCCAAGTAAGTGACCTCTCCCATCAATCACCAGCACCTGGAAGAAAAAAATAAGGAAAGATCCGTTTTAAATTCATTCTTGTTGAATAGGTATAAAACATTGAGTACAAAAGAAAACCTGAATCTTGAATAAAGTTTCTGTACCATGCACACGTCGGGTGAGAACTGCTTGTTATTAACCGACGCTGTGTAGAACAAAAATGTAATGTCTTATAACATCACACAATTGAGAATGGAGAAAAAGAAATAAAATGCAAAATTAGGACAAATTTCTTCAATTGTTTAGGTAAAGTGTATGGATCGTAAATGATAGAACAAATCTCAGACTTGCTATTCAAAACACATCTTTTCCATCCTATTCAATTTACAAAAATTAATTTTAAAAATGCAATAGACTAGATCTACTATCGAACTGAAATTCAGCCCAACTCAGATGGTAGTGCATGTAAAAGAATTTTTTCTCATAGCTTGTCACTCGAAACAGTGAGGTATCATCATTGAAAGGCTGATTTCAGACAACTATTAAAAGAATACTTGTAGTTATTACTATTGAACAAAATGGATAGGGTAGCGCGCCCAGTATTCGGTCTATTCCCAGTATTCGGTCAGACAGCCGTTTCAACAGCTGTAACAATTAAAAAAATAATTTATGAGCCACGAAACTTGCACAAATCAGGCAGCTGAACAACTTTTCTTAACTCTCAAAATTAAATCAGATTTAGGGCCCCGGAAAGATCTCCAACTTAGCTCGAAATTGGTCAGTGTCGCACAACTTTCCGCACTTTCGCGTTCTCTTAGCACATGCGCTAACATGCATAGCCATATGTAGAAGTCTATTGCGAAACAACTACGTGTGCTGTCACAATGAATTTAGTATGTGTGTGAAGAGAATCACTTCCGTGTTCGCTCCATCGCAGCGAATTTGCAAATGACGCACTTGCCGATGTGCAAGAGGTATTTATACGATACCCTTGCCATGCGGTATCGCTCAGCCAGTATTCGGTCAACGCATTGACATTCAGTGCTTTATCGCGCAATTGTGTGAAAATAGTGCGCAAATACGCTACGCTCCTTTGCAACGGAGATACCACGCACAAATCGCGTGACCGAATTCTAGTCGGCGCGACCGAATTCTGGGCAGAAAAATGCTCCGTCTTCTTTCGGAAGTCTTTTGCTTATCGTTATTCTATATTTTCAGTGACTATAAAATCCTGTTAGAGGAATAAATTTCTTTTCTTTTGATGGGTAGATTGCCCAATGAAAGAGATAAGAATTCAAAATATTAGTGATTTCCCCTTAAGTGACCGAATACTGGGTACTCTACCCTAATTATATTTAGTTGCAAGGCAATTATATGCAAACCGACATCTTCTCTAACTGTATTTCATTCTTGATGAATAGGCATAAAACATTGGGTATAAAAAAAAAAAAAAAACCTGAATCTCGCCCAGCGCATGCATGGTACACATAAATGCAATACGATCTGTTACAACATTAATTCAAAGGGTGCATCAAGTGACTCTTGGTTCATCCGCTCTTCACATACAGAGCAGCAGAGTCTCACCAATCACATGTTGCACACTCTCCTTGGCCTTGATCGTTAAGTTTCAAGACCGTTAGTAGATGTATTCACATTAATAGAAATCACACCCAGCCATGAAACTCTGCAAATCTCTTCTCGATTAATACAACATTTCACCCAACGCACTGAACACAGAACATCTTGATCTTGGTGTCACATCTTCTCCCGACATTCTCGCACCCTGACAAAAAAGGTGCCACAAAGTACAGAAATGGTGTGGACAAGGCACTTCTCCCTTTCCAGTAAAATATACTATCAAAATAGTACTGGCCTCAGCTCAGTCCTCTCACTCCCAATTTTGCAAGTCGCTCAACGACAACGCTAAGCACAGGCATGCCATGGAACTGCCAAGCCACTCACTCAACTTCTCACCGTCTGAATTCGTTGTCAACACGACATTCATCACATGAACAGTGGCAGTGCATGGCTACATGCAATTCAATGACTGAATCCTGGCTACATTTTATATTCTAGATCTAGTTTAAGACGAGCGTAACGAGAACAGCTAGAGTCGCATGGAACAAAACGCTGCAGCAAATGGGCATGGCATGGCGCCGCACACCGAGCTGGAAGTGGCACATGCACAACGTACGCACGATGGCCCACGTCCAATGCAAGTGCGCCTGGCCTTCCATGCTGCCATGCGTTATGCAGATAATTCATGTAGGTGCGAGCGCAGTTCAATCTTACAATTTTAAAAGTAATTTTTCATATTTATGAACCCCTAAGATCAACCGAACTCAGAGTACTTTATAACATGATTATTATACTCTCGAATCATAAGAGTTTTTTTACTTCCATCCTCATAATTTTAGTACAGGGACAATTCTAATCGGAGGATTACACTATAACTACCTTCGCAAAACTCGACATGGCTGCCAAAAAGACCGATAAATGACCTTTCAACTCTGACGTCATTACAACGTTCACAACTATTTTCAGCGAAGAAATTTTTTATTTGACATAAAAATGTAGAATGATAAGAAATAATTATGATGAAGTACTAATGAACATTTAAATCTCGATTACTTATTTTTTTTCAAACTTGAAATGCAAATGTTTATACAAAAAAACAAAACAGTATTGGAGATCAATCTTTAATTTAGATAAATATGCTTATAACTCCCTATCCAACAGGAAGACTCCGTGGCGCAACGGTAGCGCGTCTGACTCCAGATCAGAAGGCTGCGTGTTCGAATCACGTCGGGGTCAACATGATTTTTTTTTTCATAATAATCTTTTACATTTCTTCTTCTGTTTGTTGAATTCATCAAGGCTGATGAATGGAAGCGCTATAACAACCTTTCTGAAAATTATGGTGACCTTCGAACATACTAGTGTTTCTGCTGAGCGTTCAATAAGGTGAACACTTGCTTGAGATCAACGAGGGTTGTTTCTGACTTTTGCCCATTATGCCAGAGGCGGCAATCCCGATGGGAGGGGGGGGGGCACTATGCCCCCAATTTTCAGGTATCCCCAAAGTGCCCCCTTTTACATAGGACAAGTGCCTCTTTTCATTTACAATATTTGTCCTTTTCCTCACTTTTCGTTTCTGGTGAGTACCGTGGTACCTCTTTTCATGTGCGAGAAATTCCCCTTTTCACCTCCGATATCTTTCCCCTATTTTATTTTGACTCGTGGCCCTTTTCCATTTTAAGAAGTGCACTTCTTCCTTCGTAATAAGAACTCCCTTCCCTTTCTTTGAAATGCTACTTTTCACCTCTGATAAGAGCCCCTTTTCCTTTCCAATAAGTACCATCCATCGCATAAGTGCTCCTTTTCCTTTTTTTTAATGAGTCCCTCCCCCTTTTCAAAATGCCCCTTTTAACATCTGACAAAATCCCCTAAGAAAATCTGATAGGTGCCCTTTTCCTTAAACAGATTCCCCATTTCCATTCCCACAAGTGCCAGTTTTTATCTCTGTCAAGTGCGGCCCTTTTTAAGTGCAAGAAGTGCCGTTTCACCTCTGATAATTGCCCTATTTACTTTGACACGAGCACCTTTTCTTTTCTAATTAATTACTGTCCTTTTTCCCTTTTTGATAAGTGCCTACTTTTCCATTCTCCATAACATACAGGGGCGTACGCAGGGGGGGGGGGGTGGTTCGGGAGCAAAATATTTTAGGCCAGATTTTAACCCCCCCCCCCCTTGAAAAAAATCCTGCGTACGCCCCTGATAACATACACCCATAATTCAAGGCGACGTAGAGCCCCTTTCTCTTTAATAACCCTTATAGTATATTGTACCACGTAAAAAAAGAAACAAATATTGATGTCATCCCTAGTAGCATAATTACAATAATGACGATGTAGGGGTATAAATTATACCAATGTCTAAAAATGGTTTAGGTTTTCCTTTGTAGGTGTCCCTTTTTTTTCTTTTTTTTTCTTTTTTTTTGTGCCTCCCCTACTTCTGAAGACGCTCCGCCGCCCCTGCATTATATGCTACTTGGTACTTGGTGGCAGGCGCGGATCCGAGAGGGCCGACCGGGCCTTACCCTCCTCCCCCCCCCCCCCCCACAAAAGAGAGAGAGAGAGAGAGAGAGAGAGAGAGAAAGAAAAGAAGGGAAAGGGAAAGAAAGAGGAGGGAAAAGAAAAGAAAGGGGGGGGGGGGCAAAAGGGACTTGCTTCCCAGGCTGTTGCCTCCCTCTCCCATCACAGAAATAAGAGAGAAGGAAGGAAAGGGAAAGGGATCCGCCACTTCTTGTCAACTGGTAAAAGGGGCACCTCTCAGTATTATTTGGATAG